CAGTACCTCCATGCAGTATTCATTCTTCTTGTTGATCAAGTGATTTAAAATGTCTGAAGCAACAAATTAAGGAAAATAAGCACTTGTTGCATTGTTAGTAGTCTTTTTGTAGATAAATAGTTGGTGACTCCATAAAGACATAAAAATAAAACAGACCTTAACACACACACACACATAAACACGCATATTCACATGCGCGCTGTTAGCATATAACAGCTCTAAGGGGGTAAAACTTAATTCAAGTCACCAAGTATGGATACTCAAGTCAACAACAGCGCCCAAGTTATCGGAATTTGCAACAAAGACATATTCTTTGCCCTGTGAAAAGGAATAGGTCTTATATTAGCGAAACATAGTATTATTCATGAACGTCAATCAAATCAAAGAAAACTGCATCTTAAAGGGCACAACCTGCGATAATAATGCTTCAAGCTTCCCACTATTCACCAAAGATGGGAACACATCGCCGTGACCAGGGGGATACCTGAACAAGCAAACCACATTCATGAGCTTGAACAGTTTACATAAAATATTTGCCACATTTGATTGCTTAACTAATATGATCCTGAAATAAACAGCTTGGACAATGCATGCAAATCTTTATATGACGAATATGTAAGCATTGATGTCTGAATCACGAAAGCAGAAAAAGATAAAAGTATATTTCATCCTAAAAGAAAGGAACTAAGCTAATGGTGAGAGTAAAAACCGTTTACAGAGAACAGCAGCAGATATAATTAGTAAATATGAAAATGGAATTGGAAAATGAATACAAATATGATTATGAATATTACAGTAAATCAATTATTTTCCATTTCAAATCAAGAACCCCAAAAATTTCTATCTTCGACAGAAGAACTTCACAAGTACTTGTAATGTAGATGTTTAACCGATTGACCAATTCCAACAATTAAATTATCAGAAGAGCAAAGAGTTCAATCGTGTAAAATACCATCCATCCTTGCCAGCGTCTTTTATGCATGGAAGTGGAGTGAAATTGTCAACAGCTAAACGAGGGTACTGACTCTGTGAAAAAGGTAGAAGAAAAACATCAACAACATATCAAATAATTTCAATGCAAAGAAAAGTACAGACTTTCTAGTGTAAGATAAACAGACCTGGTTAAATGTATGGATCTCAATGTCTGATTTGGCATATTTTTCTACAATCTACAGTATAAAAAAGCAACACATCAACATTTGACTTAAATTAAATGTGGAAAGTCATTTTCTATAGGATATAGCTCATGCAGATATATTTCACCTTCAATGTATCATCATGAGTATTGAAAGAGTTCATTAAAAGCAGGGGAACACTGCATCCATACTTCTTGTTGAGAGTCTACAGACAACTAGAATTATTAGTTGCAGGCAACAATGAAACAAGAGCAATCAGAAGAATATCTTCCACGCGTAATACCTCAATTTGGATCACAATTAAGTCCAGAAATGTCAAACCATTACGAACTTCGATGACAGACCTACATCATTGAAATATGAATTTTACCTATACAAGGATGAAGAGGAATATAACAACAGTGGAAAAACATAACGTATCACAAACATGAAGGTAAAATATCTCTCTCAGCATGACTCGTTAGGTGCAGTTTCGTGAGGATAAAAAATGATGCTTAAAGAAAGAAAAGGTAGCCTGTCCAACTAGCAATAAGTTTCCTCAACTTTCCATGAAGTTAACATATTCAGCCAGCAGGAGAAAACACAAAGAAACAAGAGAAAAAAGCTTTTATTTATTTCCTCATACCGCCACTACTACTAGTTTTATTTTTCATAACTGAAGGAGAACACATGGAAATCTCACAGATCTTACAACAGATAACACCGAATCAAATTTGTCTACACAAAACTGAAAACCATACCATGCATTTCTTATGCATCTCCCTGATGAAAAAGTATGGAAGATAATTTTAAATATATAAAAACCAGTATAATGCATACTTTGGGCCAGTGCATCCCATTGTTGTCCCTAAGCCTCCGTTAAGCTTTAACACCACAAGTTTGTCTAACAGTTTTTTAGTCTCTGCAGGATCTGCATTAACCCCAGATAGTTAATTTTATTCACAAAACTCAAAAATAAATATCTCTAAATTGAAATAAATGATTTGCACTCTGGTTTATATATTTTAGATAATTTAACTTCAAAATGGAAGGCAGATAAGCGTGACTAAAATGAGAAGATCACCTTCAGGTACAGGTGTTAAGGTATCATAGGGTACGACCACCTCATCAGTTGGTGTCTGGATCTTACTCCATTCAACATGTTGAGCTTCACCGCTTTGATTTTCCCAAAAAAGAAAAGAAAAAAAATTATCACGAAACATATCAATATCAAACTTCAACAGATCGGATTAGAAAAGTGAACGACGGTGGTAAACTTTTTAAATACGTAAAATATCCAAAATTCAGAAATAAAAACACCAGATTCTTGATGCGCAGTCCACTTACATCAATTTCCAGCATTTTCAAAAAATAAATAAAAGCATTGAGAACTAATTCAACACTTGGATCATACAGACTGCAAATCCATACACTACTCACAATATGCAAAGCTCATCCCCCTAATCCTCAACAATTACATTATAAATTCGTAACCACAAACCATAGATGTCCAAATTATTCCTACTGTACCTGAGATAGCGAGTAACGAGGTTGACGAATCCAACCTTCTCATTTTCACTGAAAAACAAAACTAAAAACTTCAACCAAACAAATCGTTTAAACCAGATCTACAATAAAATAACAAATAAAATTCATCAAATTAATAAAAATAACCAAAAAAAAAAAAACCTGATTTGATTGAGACCAGAAACAGCAGATTGAAGCTTGGTAATCTTCTCTTTATCAGCTGCACTTAAAGTTGGTGTAGACATTTTCGAGAATAACTACTTATTTTTATTAACCTGAGATTCGGAATTATAGGTTATGAGGAAGTGTGTGAAGTGAGGAGAAGATAATACTGTGTGCGGTGTACATACATATATATAGGTAAAGGTGAGAGAAAGGGTAGTATTGTAAATTTGAGTTTCAGATCGAATGTTACGTGGCGATGGTAACGGAAATTTTTGGCACCCACAGAATGGTGGGGAGGAGGAGGATGAGAGAGTATACGGGCGAATATGACTCTTTGTGAGAGGGTGCCTCGTGTCGTGTTGGAGATGCTTGTGAATCAAATAATTAGGATAATTAAGAGACTGTTTGGTACTGATTCTCATTTTCTATAGTAAATCAATTCTTATTTTCAACCACACATTTTTCAATAAAATAATATTTTCCATCACATCAATATTTTTTTCTTCTTTTTCAACCACACATTTCCTATCAAATCACTATTCAAA